AGTGAGAGTCTGGAAAGAGCGCGCACCCAGGGTGACGTTGCGGTGCGGACGGTGGGATTACGCAGATGCAGTGTGGCTGGTTCTCGCCCGAGATGCCAAATCCAAGCGTTTGGCCGACTGTCCCTCCGGCCGGTGCCTGACGACAACTCCCAGTCTGTCCTCGAGGGAGGGGCTTGAGGGGCTCAGTTGACCAATCACAAGCGTCATTTGCGAACCAGCACAGCCTCAACCCGGAGAATCGGTGGCGCCAGATTCCGCGTAATGCTCAGTCGTGCTTTAGCGCCGTTTAAGCGAATCTCCACTTTCGTGCTATGCGCCCATCTTTCCCCTGTCCATGCCGCAGAAGGGCGGGAGACTTGCTTGGAACCTTACGCCAACTAAAGGATTCTCTGTCCCTGTCGTCCCTGTTCTGAATAACGGCTCTGAGGTCATAGCTTTCTATACGCCTCCGGCTATTGGTTGAGATGGATTGTCATGTGTGCGTGTCGTGCTATGCCATGCCACGCCATGCAAACACAAAACCCTCGTCTCTGCCCAATTTGCAGTCTAATTTGCCCATGCTCTCAATTTAAAGCCCGGATATGGTTCGTCCCAGGCAGCGCTTGTCGTGGGTTTGTAATGTTTCATCCTTCAGAGTTCTCAGAGTTCAGAAGTCCTAGCCGACGTCGCTTCTACCATCTGTGCCAATATCGGCGTCTCCTGTTCAATATTGATGTATTGCACAATTGAACCCATTCGCTGCTTGCTACCTCGTATGCTCCTTGCCAATAGTCCCTTAAGCGATTCCTCTAGTGCTCATCGCCTGGAAAATCTCCTTAGACATGGTTTATCTCACTCTATGTCGCAAAGTCGTGGAGTCATCGTAGAGCCATCTATGGTTCGTTGGTGTCTGGATCCCCGCTCGCTCATTTTTTACCAGGCTGCGCTATGAGAAAGTCTTCCTTCCTCTGGCCACACCATATAGTCGTCACATTATCCCATTAAACCCAAGCCCAGACCCCTTACAAAACGGACGTCGTCCGCTTGCCGTTCAAGGGCTAACCTCATTCTCTCGCCATACTCTTTCTCTGCCTCCTCCGCCTTCGCCTCTTCCTCCGACTTGGGCACCGGCTCGTCGAAGTCATCCGCGGCGAATCCAGGCTTGCCAGAGAAACTGACGAGCCCAAGCTTCTCGCCTGTCCAGAACAAGATATCGTCATCATTGACATTATCCAGTCCGTTGCGTGTTTGTGTCGACAAAATCTTCCGAGCAAGGTCGTCCGAACCAGGCATTGACGCAAAAAGAGAGGACCGTTCCGGAACTTCGCTGTGGCCAATCTTGTGCCGCCTCACTTCGGTGAAGCCGTCGCGCTCGAACCATTTCAGGAGCCCGGAGCCGTCCGAGAACACAATGCGAGTACCTTGATTCGAAACCGAGAGAATTTTGGACTGCGAAGACGTCTGCCGGTTCTTCATCGTGGAATTCTGCATGAGATCCGCCGACACTTCGCCCGGGTGTTGGCACAGTCCGTACAACTCGAGTGAGCCCTTGGTGTTGTATTCACCACCTGCAATCAGAGTGCGGCCGCCTTCTCTCGTCTTGGACGCCATCACTTGTTCGGCGGACAAGTCGCTCCTCCGACGTGTTTCGCTGTCCAGCGTGGAGAAGGGATACGGGAGAGATGCGAGGCTGGCCAGCCGAGCGCCCGAGTGAATGGAGCCCACGATGGAGGGAAACTTGCGTCTGTCATAGTGGAGGATGTTTGAAAAACGACCTGCCACATAAATGTCGTCCGAAAAGGAGTACTCGTCGCATGGTTTGGGTAGATGTAAAATGCTTAGGGGCGTCGGTTGTGACAACGGTGCGTACGGCGGAAGCGGGTCGTCGAATATGTTTGTTGACTTCTGTGCGTAAAGCCCGCTTCCTCTACGCACTGCCAACACGTCGACCTGGTCAATTGTTTCACTCGGTGGCCTTGCCCGCGCTCTGTAGTCGTATAAATGTATCCCCAACGAAGTTCCCACGGTCAGCGGCAGACCTGGAGCGGCCGACGATAAGGCCGTGATGGACCACTCGAACGACTGCTCGCCGACGACCGCCAGGCGATTGAGATCCACTTCTAGAAGATGACCCTGGACTGCGACAAAGGCCTTGCCGGCGAAGCTGTCAATGCTGATGCACTCCGATACCCCGACATCGATCTTGCGTGACCTCCCCATAGTTTGAGGACCGTCAAGGTAGAGAATCCCTGCCGAACTCGTCGCAACGATGGCGCCTTTCCGACTTGTCGCACCCTTCACGTCCCACAGGCACACGGACCCGTCGTCTAATGGCGATACAGCCAGCAACTCGTTACTCTCTTGATTCGGGCTATAGAGGGCCATCCCCCGGACATCCAGAGTATCCACCTCGTTGCCGTCTCGAATCTTGGGCTGCTGCAGCCAACTCGTTGTGGTAGGTGCATACCGCTGTATGTATTCATTATACCAAAAGACCGGCTCTGTCGGAAACGAGGGGTCCCAGTTCACCATATCCCTGTGCCGCTGCAACTCGCGCTGCTCTGCCGTTTCTTCATCGTGGAAGTGCGGGGACAATTCTGTATCACCATGCTCATGGCGTAGCTGCACGGCAGCGCTGAGGAGAGGCTCGTCGCTGACGTCGTCGTGGATGGTGTGGGTCAGGCGCCGGCGCCGTCGGATCGATTCTAGAAAGGGTGACTCTTCAAACGTCCTTGACCGCCAGTGGTTGTTGTCGAGAGAGATCTTTTGGAGTTTTCGGCATACAAGTTGCAATCCGGGGAAATCGTAGGGCTCTAGAACTAAGCGGCACCAGGCTGTCAGCTGGAAATCTGGAAATCTGGGGCGCGCCGTCGGCTAAAGAAACATAGGTACTCACATGATAGAATGCGGAGAAGAATCTCGTCCGGCAGATCGTCCAGCTTCTTCGGAGAGACCAGCAACGCCATACTCGGTGTGGTTTGAAGTACACTCGAGTGCACTCACTCAGTGGTTTTACTCCGGGCCTGGTTTTCGGACTCAATGTGTATAGTAGGGGAGTTCCGGGCGAGATCCATGAAGAAGAGGATCGAAGGATGGTCCTATCGTTATCGTTATCGGGATGGACTGCCAGCGCCCTAGCCGATTCAGGATTGGTGCAGATCCGGGGGTGGGCCGTATAGAAATGCCTAGACTGTGGGTGGACTGGCCCGGCCTGGCCCGGCCTGGCCTGGCCTGTCAAAGCTCCAGTTGGTTTGGGCTTACCAGCACGAGCTGTTGTATCTTGTATCGCAACCGTGAGCAATCAACTTATGAAACCCAGTACAGTCACGTCCCTCGTAGTACAGTTGCTAGGCAAAGCCAACCGCAGATCAACTCATGTTGACACTGAACGCTAGCCCGGGGCTTGGCAGCTACCGATTTCCCAAGTCTGATCGGCCCTAACACCCAGAAGATACTCGACCACTGCTAGAATTCCGCTCATCGTCCCGACAGTCAGTCTTTGAGCCACTCTTCTGCCTGTGAATTGTATGTATGTAGGCTCGGTTTCCCCTTCTGGCAAAATCACCAACGCAAGTCATGTATGCAGCCTGCTTGGAAAACATTATGCACAATTCGCCTCGTTATCTCCCCTCTTTGAAACATTTGTCGCATGTACCATGCATACAGTTTAATCGCATTCGCGGCAGGTCCATGTTCGACTGTAGCAAGATCCTAAACGGTCAAAGCTATGAGCGTCTCGAGGGCTAAGGGAGTACTAACGCATGCACCTTGGGACTAAGCTTCACAATTCAACAAATGGTAGTGTTGGTTTCACCAGGGTATTGGTGATACGATTGACCGTACGTATCAGTGGCAATTGACGAATATTAGGGGTAGCTGTTGATCTCTATTATGCGTATAGAAAAGAAGGGTAACTATCGTGGGTTGGTTGGTTGATTAACCAACTACTTGCCGCGAATTTTCGGTGGATCCGCGGTCCGATTACCCGAGAATCAGCCGGCAATTAGTTATCGGAGTTAAGGCGATAACTCCGATAATTATCCGCCATGGTCGACATCGCAACAGGTAGGTTCCTTCTGCCTCGCTGCGTCATAATGAACGACTTCTTCCATCTGATGGTTTTATACGTGCTCGAATATAAATTTAACTCTTATTTGTACAGGAAAGGCTCCGTACATGAATAAATTCAGTCACTTTCATTGATAGCGCTCACAAATCCCGTTGGTGAGACGATGTACAAGTAACTCAATCGATCCAAAGCTCTATTGACAAACCACACGTCCTGAAGCATTGTCGTCAAAGGAGTATTCCATAAGAAAGCTGGGTGTTTGAACTTCGCGGCGCAAGTCCTCGTTGGACTGTCAATACGTTCTAACACTCGCCAATATTTATTCTAACCGCGTCTCTGTATTGAAACGAGGCTATTGTTCTGTAAACTGGTGCCTCCATGTGTGATATTAAACAGTATTTTTTCATGCTTGGTTATTGGTTGAACATCGCCCATATCCGAACTTCTATGCTGCAAACTCATTCTTCGAACACACATGTGTTTGTCGTGTTTTAGTCCGTCGCTATTTTTCGGCTGTAATTGTAAGGGAATACGTGGGAACTTCCTTTAATAAGTCTATGTATGGTGCAATGCTGGCACAAAGTGCCAACATTGGTTGATCTTTTGGGTATTTGCCTGAATGGTCTATGGACGGGCTCAGTACACCGCCTGGGTTCCCTGACAGTAACATTATGGGTGTTTTTCAGCTAAGCACTCCAGTCGTACGCGGGGACTAATGGCCCGATTGATGGCGTGTCTCAAGTTCGTTCATGTCGACGTATTCTACTCACATGATGACAGCAAGTATTACAAATCATTCCTTCGAAAGGTTAGAAGCTTAGCCAAACTTCTGGTCGATTTAGCTGCGAGTTCGCTGCAATAGGGACAGAAGACTTTCCCCTCAAGTCATATGTCATCAACAAGGAACAACGCGGGTTCCAAATTCAAGATGCGCTGCATTTCACTAAGTTCGCTAGTGTTGCTCGAGGGACCCAGTGACCAGATTGATGCTCTCTAGTTTTTCTGTTTGGTGGGTTTGTTTTCTGCCCCCCCCCCCCCCCCCCCCCTTTTTGTGGAGAGTTGTGTTATTTATTGGACTCAGTCTCCAAGCGACATTCTCTTCACGTGATTGAGGCAAGGCCATTATTGCTTGAGGATGATGGTATTCAAGGGGGTGTTCCGCATGCACGCGAAGGGTCCAAAGAGGATTACCCAATTCTATGGGAATGTTGTGTTTATGCTTATGTTCCGAATCGTCCTGTCGGGGCACCACAACAAGATAGTCACCGCACCTATGCATTGTTCGATGTTTGCTAGGTCAGGTAGCCCCAGACTGGGGTAAAGAGAAAAGAGGCAGGCGGGTGGAGTCGTAAGCCGGGAGACAAAAGGAGATAACGAGACAATAAGATTAAAAAGGTTGAGAGATTGGCCGTTGATGATATCCGTACAATGAACACGTAAAGGTAACTAACACGCGTGTCATGTCACCGCCCCTCCCGCTGGGTCGTCTCGCAAGGATGGCCGGATGCACCGGAGAAGAAAACCACCAGACCTGGAAGAGATCCGCATCACCTCTCTTACTCGGTACAAGTCACCCGGAACTGTTTTTTCTGCAGGCAAGAGAAAAGGCAGCAGAAAACGCAAAAGAAAAAGGGCACTGAGTTGCCCGGATTCATGGTGTGTTGATTGCATGCATTCTGATGAATACTTGTTCGCCTTACTCATGACGAGTATGATCACTGGATTTGCTTCTCCTTCTATAATATTGACAGATAGTCAACGTCTCGAACGGCTTTGTGACTTCGGACAAACCTCTTCCCCGGATTCCATGTGTATTCTCTCTTCTGCAGAAATTTATCGTAATACATTCTCTCGCAATCAGCTGAGTGGTGGATACCGTTAATAAACTCTGGGCACCACGTGTCGCTGTTCTGGAAGCTGTACCCACTCCTGCCTGTAATCGCTCTCAGTCTCGCCTTATATGTGTTGACAGATGTCAACGCTCGTTATAAAAGGGTTTGGTGATAGGATCTTGAGCGGGAACCATGGGCGTTCCCAAATAGCTAATCAAACCTCCCACATACTACTAGTAAGCTGGTAGCGGTTAACAGGCAGACACTTTGTTGGTCAAACCTTAACATTTCAGACTATCTCAAAGTACTGACCCACCTCCTCTTGAGTCACTTCTGTTGTCCCCACACCACCAACTTCAACTCCTCAACTCCAAATCCTCAACTCCTACATAGCAAGTCAACAAAAAGAGAAAAAGAGCTTCTCTAATAGTATATACTATAGCCTAGTTATCTTAAATTAAAGGTAGTATTTCTAGGGGTAAATTTCTCTAAAAAGTTAATTTATACTACTGTATTTTAGATATACTTTAAGCTAATAGAGATATCTCTGTTGTCTTCTTTTTTTTCTTAGCGAAAGGGTGAGCTAGTCTATGTATAAGTCTGTGCAGAATAAGCAAGAGACTTCAAGAGGTACTTTGATGACTTAAATGCTGCCCCGCAAAGTGTCTGCCTGTTAACTGCTACCGGTAAGCTTTCTGCCGACAGTCACCGTGTCATGATCGTCAATATGCTGATTTCTCGCGGGATCAGCCTTGGTGTAGAAATGACTCCCAGGTTCAGTTGGTAATTGGTAAATGACCACGGGGTCCACCAGATATCAAAAAATGCAGCTGCAGCAACACGATCAGCGTTGAAGACTCCCCTACGCAGTAAGAAGGGGTCGGGATCCGTAATTGCTGATGAGGTGCTTGAATCGTGCTATACGAATTGCAAAGGGCACAAATTGAATATTTGCGTTGACAGGGGTCAGGCCTCGAGACTAAAACCTGGTCAGGTCAAGAGCTTAAGCTCCATCCCAAGGTTCGCAATGACTAGCTACCCGACGACAGCCCCCACATGGGGGAATAGAGCTCATTTCCAGCACATCGTGACAACGTACACTGACGTCTAGCGAGAAACCCAAATTGATGAAGCCGTGCCTGGATCTGCGGCTTAACATTAACGCACGACTATGCCGGATGGTTTCCGTATACCTTCGTTGGCTGATGTGGCTCGACCTTCACCTATATATATAAAGGTCACAAACACCTCTTGCTGATGTAGAATTCCCTTCTCTACTGCCACCAGCTAATCTAGTCACTCTTTTCCCCAATACCGGGTTGTCGCTCTTTGAAATCAGTCTTTACAAGTTATTTTTTGGTACCTTTTCCACAAGTATTACCAATCTCTAATTTTATACCCAACCGCCAAAATGCAGGTTTCCATTTTCACCGTCCTTGCGACCGCCGCCAGCCTCGCTGCAGCCCTTCCCGTATGTCAATATCAAATAAGCTCCATATCTCTGAGACAAAATTAACAATCGTCTGCAGGCCAACATGAATACCCCTACCTGCGGCCCTACCTGCGGTCTGCCTGGCAACTTCCACAAGACCAAAGTTAAGGCTGGCCAGACCCTGACCACCATCGCTGAGCGCTTCCATTCCGGCATCTGCGACATCGCCTGGCTGAACAAGCTCGAGGACCCTAACGTCATTTTCCCCGGCCAGTTGCTCTTGGTCCCTGTTGACGTCTGCAAGCCCGACAACACCTCTTGCATGAAGCCCGTCGGCGAGGCTACTTGCGTCAAGGACGGCGCAGCCACCTACGTGATCGCCAAAGGTGACACCTTCTACGTGGTGGCCCAGAGGCTCGGAATCACCACTGACTCCCTCACTGGCGCCAACCCCGGCGTTGTCCCTGAGAACCTTCAGGTCGGCCAGGTCATCAACGTTCCCGTGTGCAAATAAATCACGAGTCTCGTCATGACGTTATCGGGGCTCAGTTGATCCCACATGGGTCTGAGTAGTGTTACTCCCTCTTGTACACAATTTTAAGCATATTATCATAGCTTGTTAATCCAAGAGGCGTATCCACAATAATTACCATTGAATGCTACGCTGTTCTCAAATAACTAAAATCATAAGTAAACCGCAGCCCAATTTTCAAGAACGTTTGACGGGTTCACCCCGGATGTGGATGGAAGGGAGACACAGTCAGCCACATAAGACATGAGCCCAGGCACGAAATGACCCCAACGGAAAGGTCGCAGACTTTGACTAATTCCCATTGAGAACTTTTTGAAACTTAGGAGGGGTTTAGGGGACTCTTCGGGCCAAAACATATAACTACTTGTAGTCAACATGTTGTTAAAGCTTCAAAAGTCTACCGCCTTCATTCTGCCCTGCGCATGACACCTTTTGGAGGAATGACTGCACCCTCTTGTGATTCATGCCATTGTAGGGCTGTCTGATGGCTAACGAGGTCTTAAATGAATATGTAGCCATGGTGATCATGCTCCGTCATTTGAAGCAGCTGCTCTGAGATTATATTATCGTGGCAGGGGGACTAGCCGTTCCTGTTCTTTCGATTGCTAGGATTTCTGGGCCGGGCCAACTGCCTTGAAGCGCATAGATCAGCCGCAAAGCCGCCGAGACGTAGTTCCAACTCTCGGGCCTTTGGCCGCTAGTCATTATGGTTATCTAAGAAATCGAGTCCCGATTTGGACAGTTTCTGAAACGATGGGCCATGCCAAAAATGCGGACAATCATCTGGATAACATACCTTAAGTTGTTTCAATCTTCTCGGCAAAGCGTCCAACAAAAAAAGCTCGCTGCATAGCATGGTCGCCTGAACCGTGTTCGATAGTCTAGTATCCATTAATCGTGTACTACTAATTAGGCCATTTATGGTTATGCTGTACTCACCTATAATGGTCTCCGGGATCTTTAAGTGCGACTAGCACTGTACAACTGAGCACACGGAAACCCCTAGGGGACACGCGTGACACGTGCCCTCTAGGGGATGCCGTATGGAACCTGGACGCTGAAGCGCCTTGGGCACTTAACAGCAGGGAACAATTCTAGTTGAACTCCTAGGACGTTGACGAGAGACAGCAAAAGAAATACAGGGGATGGACAGAGAGACATGTGTGGATGGATTGGACTTGGTCTTTACTATGTATATGCCGTTGTACGTTAAAATTTAGCTACCCTAGGCGCCTTTTGTCCTTTACAGGAACGGCCCGGCGTTAAATATAACAACAACAACAACAACAACAACAACAACAAATCCGGGATCTTTAACATGAGGATCTCTTTCCTCTGCCAAGCTAGGTTTCCTAAACTATAGTCGGACAAATTTCCACATGTCTTCCATTACCACTGGCTTAGGCATAAGGATCAAATATATTTTTGTAGCATTCTAAGGCTCTGATGGGAAGTATATAAGCCATTGCAGTGAGACTTTCTGGGTTCAATGTGACACTCTGTTTTCACTGACACGTAGTCGAGATTCCCGAGAAAGGTCGCTTATGTCATGATAGCTTCATACAGCACCTGTCAGGTGTCATATCACGTGGTGTTTGACTCATTATTCGCATCAGTCATGTATATACAGGATCCTTTCTTCACATCTCTACTTCTAGGGGAATAAACCTTTCTTACTCTTATTCTTGTTTGCTCTGCGGTGTGCTCTAACTTGTGACAGTTTATGACGGACATATGATAAAGTTCAAAGTTAAGTAGCTAACCATTAAGTCTTTTTTCTGCCTGATTATAATGCATGATATTTCCGCGTACCCTTGTGAATAGAAAATTTGACCTCTGGTGACCCCTCTGGTTCTAAGTTTTGGTGTATGAACCTGTTCAAAACGACAGAGACTTGTAGCCAAGCCCCCTTCCCAGCTCTGGGTTAAGACAAATGTTTTCGATCAGTACTTTCGGTTGGGTTAGCAGCCCAGCTGGGGACTAGATGCACTGCGTCAGATGAGCGATAGCACTGGGGTCATTTGAGTCCTCCCACGGCCCGATCAATCGCTCAAGTATCACTTTTTGATGCAATCCATAAAGTGGCTCGTCGAATTTCGATGCCAGTCCACATGTTCGCAACCAAGCCAATGTCGTAGCGAAGTGATCCTGTATCTGCGGCTTCTTTGCCGAGCAGTCTGGACAGGCAGCCTAGAGGAACGAGAACGAGAAACGATGGCGGTTTCACTCCATGAGAACTTAACTGCATGCCAGTATTCCAACATGGCGTCATCGGCCGAAAGCCGAAGTAAGGTGCATATCTGCGGTAGGTATGAACCTGGGCACCTCACACGTTTAACATCGGCCCCCCTTCTCAAGCCACCCCTCGGCAGCTCATACAGCTACTGTATAATCAAAACACTCGCCAAGACCCAAACTTGCCACTAACAACCTAGCTTTCCTTCTCTCCATTGCTCGCTACCATTCATAGCCGCACTCCAGAGTCTATATTCCCGCAGACCAGGACAGGTGCAGCAATAGGCTATACAACTTCTCTTACATCATAACAGCCTGCCGGCTCGTACACAGACAAGCATTCACAATCGGCACTATAGCCTCCTTTACCGCAAAACTCTCGACCTTGGAGCAAGCCTTCCCTCCCCACACGGAGAAGAATTAGACGCCGATCGATAAACGGCAATTTCCCATAACACGTAATCAACAGGAAGAAGCTACAATGACCAGGTCGCATACGATCATCGCGCTAGATATCAAATGCGTATTGCATGCTCGTCGGCACTTGCCATAAATGCCTGTCGGGCGAGACGTAGAGGCCAGTTTGCCTCCCCTTTTATTTTTTTCTTTTTCTTTTGTGCGGCAGACCTCCCCTCCAAAAGTAGCGGTCGCTTCTACATACTTCAAGCCTCGACACTACTCCCCGTCGCCCTTTAAAGACCAGTCTCGTCAAATGGATGTATATCCTTATTCCAAAGCTGTGCTTAAAAACCAAAGAAGCCATGCGCCGGCTCATCGAGCAGGCTCCAAACACGCCGCCTATTCCCCGCGATTTGGCGAACGGTGCCTATGGATAAGGCGGCGAAACCGCCGACAAGCCTGGTATCTGGGCAGAGTCGCGTATGAAATACAATAACGAGGAGGACATTTCGTCCGTATCTCTGCGCCCGGAACAACTGCGTAAAGCGCCGATAATTGTAGACTGGCCTCGGCCAGGCTTTTCAGTTAGCCTCCGAACGAGCGACCGTTCTACTAGTCAACTATGGTAAGCAATCGAGATTCGTCTTTATGAATACTACAGACAGACGCACGCCGCGTTTAATAGAACTGCCTAGATCTATGTCTGTTATAGTCTCTCGAAGAGACAAGACTTAGTCTGAATGCGTAGAAATCAAGGCCCGGAACAGGACCGCAGACGCGGGCTGCCCCTCTTCCATTCCTAAATCACTGTGCCATGCCTGGGCGCTCTCCCTTTAAGCTAGAGAGGTGGACTATTGTAACTTGGTGTCGCAATCACTTGGGCCATAGAACGGCACGTTGATTGCGGCACAGACAAAAGAACAACCCTAAAATGGATTTTCACGGGCCACGTACGAAGATATTTTCCTGCGGCAAGGAACGTTTACACATTATTATCTGCACTATTATAGAAGATAAAAAGACCAAGTCCGGACGTCTCGTCCTCCCGGCTTTAGAGCGTCGAGAGCTGGAATAAACTGCCTAGAATAGGAACAAAAAAGAAATGTTGTAGCCAGCAGTACTGGCTGATGTATGACGAGGCGTGTGGTTCATAGCATCGGCCGAATACCATGGGTTCAATGGGGCTTTGGATTCTGACCCGAGTGTGCTGAACGAAAGGGCCGGGGAGTGGCCTAGCGTTCGTGGCACTTGCGTCTGTCCAAGGCTCGGCGCAGTGTGCACAGTCTTCTTTTGTAGCATTCCCTGAACAGGCAGAGTACCCGCACTATGAATCTACCCACCAGATCACTGGCACGTCTCCAAAGTACGGCCGTTATGACGCAGCCGAGAGTCGCCACGGAAAAAGGAGCAAAGGGGCATGTGTCAAATGCTCGATGTCTGACTGATCTGGGCAAAGCAGCAAGGACCTTTGTTCGTAGGGCCTGCGGAGCTTTACTGTTGCATGCGTATAGTGCACGACAAGACTTCGGGATGAGATATTTCGGTTTCATCCCTTAATATCATCCGCAGATCGCGCCTTCGACGCTGGTTGATACAAGATAGGGGATAGCTTCAGAAGTTCAGACGCGGGGAAACCGGGATGCATGATTTTAGACCGAGCCAACGGCTCTGCGAGAGCGTGTTGAAGCCCCAAGACAACTGTTCCTGTCACAGCGTAACCTTGGAGGGTGGCACTCTTTACGTTCCGAGCTGCAAATAGGTTGTCTGAAGGATGAGAAATATCTTGCCCATTCACTTTTGGAACGGGTTCTCGAATCTTCAGACACTTCTAGTCCCTTGCGCCGGCGAGCCGTACAAGGGCTCGTTTCCAGGATCATGTCTGATAGTCTCGTTCGTGACAGTACGCGTATTCTGCAAGAGCCCAGCCAGCCGGTTCAGTGGTGCGACAGGATAGAAGATGAGTCCTAAGATCGGCGGTCAGTAGAGGCACAAAGAGTTGTGCAAAACATCCAGAGTCCCCCTTTTGCCGATCCAAGAAGGCGTGGAGGCAGGATGTTTGGATCGTAAACCCAATTTGAAGCAGTGGACTATACGGAGGAGATACTGGACTGGCTCCGTCGGGTAGGGTGACATGGCGAGGCTCGAATTCGACATCGGCAACTGCCATTAATGGCAAGACTACCCCTTGTTAAGGGATGAAAGATTAGGAGGAGTGGACTAGCGCGAAGCTTGGCATAAAATGCGGGGACCGATGTGAGATCCTTGTAGGCATACGGAGTACTCCGTAGAGAGAAGTGAGTGACTTGAGTATGTGTCAGTGACGATCATGCAGGTGGGTAGGGATGGCACTTGATGCGGGTACAAAAGCCGTTTTGAGTGTGGAGACCGGTGCCAATGTTTGGCGTTGCCCGTTTCACCAGGATTTGGCATTGTGGTGTCGGCCTCAGAGTGACGGCGGCTGCAGCAACGCAGAGGAGCCGGTGGCTTGCTAGAGTGCCCATGTCGAAGCTGTCGCAGGTTCCAAGCCCAGCCTGGGGCCAGGCGGGGGGCTGTTGAACGAGGCTAGCTGATAACCCACGTCACATGCGTCTCGTGGAGGGGTTCGTAGACACAAGACAATGCTGGCGGTCTTGGGGGTCCGGGTGGCCGATGATACTGAAGGCGGAACGAGTCGAACTCAGGGCGAACCAAGCCGAGGGTGACGGGTAGGTGTTAGGCTCCTCATCATTGAGTTTGCGGGAGTATTCGAGTTGGATAAGGTGCCGAGTCCCGAAACGAGCAGGGCGGGTACTGGGCGGGTGCTGTCAGTCGTCGTGTTGCGTAGTGGGTCGGAGGGAATGTGAGCGAGGCAAAGCTTCAGCCTCGCTCAAAAGGCGACGTTGAGCCAAACAAGAGATGGGCCGATGGACGGGAGGAAGAAAGCGAGATGCTTGATCTCTTTAAGCTTGAACAACGGAGCGACATACGGTTGATTTGGCCGATTAATTAGAGTGAATCAAAGACAGGTGATCTGTAAACAATATCGTACGAGTCTGACGTGGAAGAAGGCATGGATGGGTCGATGGAAGGCTTCTTTGCTGGGTAGTGTGGACGAGTGGCACGTTGAGCAAAGGGGTCAGACATGGAGAAAGAGCGCCCCGAGGTGAAGGGCCATGCACCATTGGACCCGACCCGAGCTGCAGATGGCTCTTTCGCGAGTGCCAAGGAGCAGCAGGCCACCTGACGGAAGGGGCTAGAGGCGCCAGGGGTCAGAGCGGCTGTCATACGAACCTTGCTCGGGCGACAGGTGGGTTGGATGAAATCAAAGTGACTGACTGACTTGGATTGGCGTGTGAGGTTACATAGCATGGGGGGTGGGGCACTCAGCTAGTGACCAGGGATGGAGGGCGTTGGCAAGGGCCTGAACGAGAGCCTTGAGGTTTGATGCACACCACGGGTCGATAAAGCCGCGAGGGATCTTGTAGGTTTCATGACGGGGATAAGGTATTGACCAAGGGGGGGTGGGTTACTTCACTAAGACCAAAGTGCTGGGATGACGAGTTTGGAAATTGACGGGTGCCACATGGACTACAACGGCCAAATACTGAAAGAAGACAATGAAGACGGACGGTTGTGGATAGGGGACCCTCTGTAACCTTCGTCCCCTATCGCTAATCCTAAACTAAACTAGCGCGACCAAGAGGATAACCCCTGGTGCGCCTGCCGGTTTTCCGTCATTTATTCTTGACTTATTTTTCTCTTAGTGAGGAAGGATGGAAGAGTTCCCCAGGTGACTAGCCGACTGACAGGTTGGCCAGAAAGGCCCCGATGCATTCTCGCATACTGCCTATATACTATTATCGAGTGAGGTGAGTGCATGGCAAATGGTTTTGGTGCTGCCGAGTCGCAATTTGCAGAACAGCTACAAAACTAATTTGGGCACCTTGAGGAAGCTACCGCCAGGGGTCATGCAGGCCGTCGAGTTAGTGTACATCCATCAGCATGCATGCAGGTAGGTGGACGAAATAAACGTATCTCGGTAGTCGAATCTTGCCATAGGTGTGCCTAGGTAGTCAGAATAGCACCCTCTAGAATACGAAGCATGCCTAGGTAGGTACCTAACTACCTAGGTAGCCACCTTGGTACTCTATATTCGTAGGTGCTGAGAAGAACAAACCACAGCGAATCGTGTGTCACCCACAATCACCAGTCAGCTAGGTACTGCATCCTCCCGTGCATTTCTCTCTTTTACCACCCACCGTTAAGCGCCCAGCGAACATGGACCCAACCGAAACGGGTCTGGCGTCCGTGTTCCCAAATTACGCCTCCGCCAATCAGCAACCGTATTTGCTTCTTTTTTACGATTCCCATCACCTGTTTAACTGTCCACTCTAAGATCCGTTCGTCTGGGCGCGCGGCAAGAGAACAAAAATACATGGGCGGTCCTGCTCGGCTGACCATTAACCGTCGTCGCTCGACACGACGCCGCGCTGGAGGAATTGGACAATGGCCCTCCCCAGGACCGCAATAGCTGCATGCGCCATGCGATCAACGTCCACGGCTCTGGCGGAGTCGATGTGGAAGCGCGGATATGAGGATCCGAACTCGACTCGTTGCACCTATTTCCCTTTTGATTCCCTGGGTTTCCCATTCCTTTCCTTTCTCCCCTCTCTTCCCAACAGTGCGGTACACCCTATCTTATTTCCGGCCATAAAATCTCCTGTTGGTTCCAACTCGCAGCAATCGAGTGGCGTGGCATCGCACCTACGGCGCATAACAGAATCGAGCCGCATTTGCCACAGCGGCATAGCTGAGGACGCTGTGAAAAAAAGAATCAAAAAAGAAAGAGAAAGAAAAGAGAGAGAGAAAGAAAAGCGGACACAATAGTCGGCCCCCTGTTGCAACCGAAACGTCAGAATAGCCTCGGAGCCCCTCGTCAAAGCGCCTCTAACAGAGGTCGTCTCAACTCCGCCCACCACCTGTCGCACCTGGCCCTGCCGTCCGATGAGTATCGCCTCTCGGATCGGACTGACACAGCTCCTTCCAACTACGAAACCCCTCCAACGTCTGATCTACCAAATCGCCCAGTCCATTGCCCAGAAGCCACCCCCCCCCGGCCCTGCCCTGTCCGCTGCCCCCCCCCCCCCCCCCCCCCCCCGTTACCAACTCACACAATTTTTGTAGAGTTTTTTTTTCCCTTCAATTTCTTAGCGTTACCTTTTTTCCTCCTTGGTCCATGTGTCAATCCACCCTCACAGCAAGTGGATGAACGGCACCCTGCTCAACAGCCATCGATATCGACAGGGGGCTCATGGGACATTCGACATCCGAACAACTTGGCCCCAATATCATCATCACCATCATCATTATTCACCCCCCTCTTTCCGCATCGCACGGCACCGCCAGCGACCAGCAAACCTCCTCCACCACTACAACCCTCCATTGCCGGATTCAAGTCTATCCATCCCACAGCGATAGGCTCTCCCTGGTCCACCCTGGTCTCCTTCCAATAACCGATTCCCGTCCAGAGCCATCCCTGCTACGCGAGCATCAGGCGCGCCAAGTAGACAAATCCACACTCACAACGGATACTGCTCGGTGTTGACCGTCTTCCGGCTCGTCTCTTTATGACTTTCCCCCCACCCACCCCAAGCTTCGTCTTGTCTTCTACCACCTCCTCCTCTCCACCCTCATTTTTCTCTTCTTCTTCTTCTTCGTTGTTTCTCGGCTAGGTCGAAGAGTCAAAAGTAAAACCTCGAGCCCGTTGCGACTAACGAGATTCCTTCCTTTCCTTCGCTGCTGGCTCAGATCATTCTTTATTAAACCATCCAAACCCGTTTGCTTGGTGTCTTTTTTCTATTCGCTGCCATTGTTCGTCGAGCGCGCCGCTTCGGATATTCAAAAGACTTTTTTTTTTTTTTTTTTTTTTTAATTCGGAGATTGACAAGAAAGAGACCGGGAAACGAAATTTGGTACCGCGACGCTGTAGTGGACTGGGTTTGCTGGAATTCGTCACATCGCCCTCGCCCGACGCCCCCTCACGAGCCGTTCGACGATACAGGCAGGCACGACCCTATCGCCAATTTGCCAATACTGTCGCAGGTCGACACCCTAATACGTCTATACAAGGGAGGGACATCTAACTCAACATGTCGGGTGATCTCACTTTTGGGGTCCTGGTTCGGAAGCAGTTTACTGGCCCCAAGTTGCTGTTCCACTTCCTCTTCTGGAGTTTCCATTGGGGTATTTTCGCCTATGGCTGGTGAGCCTTCCTCTATTCTCCATATGGTACATTGGCCCGTATACTAACCCCCCTCCCAGGTATAAGCAGGCCGCAGAAACGAGACTCGCAGGTCTGAACACTCTGCAGTTCTCCGTCTGGATTTCAAGAGGTGCCGGTTTGGTTCTAAGCGTCGACACAATGCTCATCCTGCTCCCGGTCTGCCGAACGATCATGCGGTGGATCCGACCCAAGCTCCGCTTCGTACCCCTCGACGAGAACCTTTGGCTTCACAGGCAGCTTGCGTACGCGATGCTCATGTTCACCATCTTGCACACGTCTGCCCATTACATCAAGTAAGCCAGCCCACTCATCTAGGACGAGCTCGCAAATGCTAACACGCGCAGCTTCTTCAACGTCGAGGTGACCCAGATTCGACCTGTCACGGCCATCCAGATCCACTACGCCCAGGCCGGTGGTATCACTGGTCACGTCATGCTGCTTTGCATGCTTCTGATGTACACCACCGCCCACGCCCGCATCCGTCAGCAGTCGTTTGAAACCTTCTGGTACACTCACCACCTCTTCATCCCCTTCTTCTTGGGACTTTACACCCACACCACCGGCTGCTTTGTGCGTGACACTGCCCTCCCGTTCTCTCCGTTCGCCGGAAAGGACTACTGGGACCACTGCATTGGTTACCTCGGCTGGAGATGGGAGCTCTGGACGGGTGGTTTCTACCTCATTGAACGTACCTACCGTGAGGTTCGTGCCCGTCGTCTTACCAAGATCACCCGTGTTGTTCGCCACCCCTACGGTCAGTGTGCAATCTGGAAAACCCTCCCGACCGTAATGCTGACTCATTTACAGATGTCGTTGAGCTTCAGTTCAACAAGCCGTCGTTCAAGTACAAGGCTGGCCAGTGGCTCTTCCTTCAGGTTCCCGCCGTTTCAAAATATCAGTGGCACCCGTTTACCATCACCTCTTGCCCGTTCGACCCCTACGTCTCTGTCCACGTTCGCCAGGTTGGTGACTTCACTCGGGCTCTTGGTGACGCTGTTGGTGCCGGAGCTGCCCAGGCCAAGCTCTACGACGGTGTGGACCCTATGGGCATGTACGAGGTTGCTCTGCAGAACGGTCAACAAATGCCCGATCTCCGCATTGACGGACCTTACGGAGCGCCCGCTGAGGATGTCTTTGAGAACGAAATCGCCGTGCTGATTGGTACTGGTATTGGTGTCACTCCTTGGGCCTCGATCCTCAAGAATATCTGGCATTTGCGCAACGGCCCGAACCCGCCTACCCGCCTCCGTCGTGTCGAGTTCATCTGGGTCTGCAAGGACACGGGTTCTTTTGAATGGTTCCAGACCCTGCTTTCTTCTCTCGAGGAGCAGTCTAACGAGGCTGCCCGCGTCCCTGGCAGCTCCGGTGTTGAGTTCTTGAAGATCCACACGTACCTTACTCAGAAGCTGGATATGGACACGACACAGAACATTGTGCTCAACTCTGTCGGCTCCGAAGTTGACCCCCTTACCGAGCTCAAGTCTCGCACGAACTTTGGCCGACCCAACTTCTCCAAGCTCTTCAGCACCATGCGCGATGGCATTATCGACAGAACATACCTCAACGGCTTGGAAGGCAGCATGCGCACAACTGTCGGTGTCTACTTCTGCGGTCCTTCCGCTGCTGGTGAGTGCCAAACTGATGACAGCGTACAGAATTTTGCTAACAGACATTTGCAGCTCGCGATATCAAGACTGCTTGCAAGGACGCAACCGTCCGCGAGGTCAACTTCCGTTTCTGGAAGGAACACTTCTAAATGGGATTATCGCCCCTTTTCACATACAAAAACACCAAAAACAAGCACCTTCAGCGACACGGTTGGGTTCTGTACATGTAGGAAGAGATCATGCCTGGAGACGATACCTACAGCTGTCGGAAGCTTCCCAGCTACGGACGGTGGTTGGTGACGCCCAGAGGAAAGCCAGCTGCATAGCGGCAGGCGGGAAGGCGTTGGCTGGAATGCATTAAGACACCCACTCAGCGGTGTGCATCATCTTACATCTTTTGCCGCCACTCGCGTCAAAGTTCTATTATTTGTTACCTGTTATGGAGGCGTGGGTGGCGGGCGGTCAATGTTCTCTCACATATATAAGGCCCATATATAACATTTTTCAACTGCAACAAATCGTTTATTTCAAGTCTTCTTTTCACTCCGTATCATCTAGCGGGAGACGACCGAAGACGTCGGTCCGGTTCAATAGGGTTATGTTACACAACCTTATGTGATATGCCCATCATCCAACTGCAAACCGCTCCAAAGAGATGGCTTGACCAACTTCCTTGCACCGGATGCGGATAGTCAGCGGCCCGTTATACTGAATCGCTCTGCCAAGACCTGGGGTCCCATTAAAGTGAATAGGGCATTGCGTCGCAGAGCAGGGGCAATATGGTCGACCGTACGTCTACTGGGGATAACCATACAGGTAGGACTTTCGTCAGGGTGCATCCGGCAGTATCCATTTGGTGCTGCCACGGTCTCCTTGCCCGTAGCTGCCGTGGCTGCCGTGCCGTTGGACCCCTTAGTCAGCCTTAACCCCCCCCCCCCCCTCGTCCTGGTTGTGAAGGGAATCTCTGCTCCGACGACCAGGTGGAGAAGGGGGTTGATGCGGCAGTGGTACGTGCTGATGGTCCATAGTTATGTGGTTCTGATTCTGATCGTTTTCCAAACCGTTGGCGTTTCGAGTCCTCCTAGTGGGACGGGTTCCCGTGGCCCGGTTTGTGCGGGCTCAAGGCGGGAGAGCAGTGAGTCGACCGGTGTGTCGACAAGTCATTTCAGGATGAGTCCCTCTTTCTTTCTGTATATGTATGTCTCTCTGCGTTGCTGGACGGTGGTCATTGGTTTGGCAAGTTCAAGACATCAGCACATGGTTGGGCGGACGCGCTCGGTCGGCGTTATGATTGTACGACGACGAGAGCCCCGGACGAGAGGCCAGGCGAGAGCGTTGGAGAAGGTCTGAGTCCTACCCGAGAGATCCGGATTGGAAGATTGGAAGAGAGAGAATAAGTGGAGAGCGAACGTCCGGGGTTGCCGCTGCCCCTGGCCGGCAAAAGAAGAGAGTGGCCCAAGTGACGAACATGGAATTTGGTGGGGGTGGAGAGGGCGGTTGTAAACTGTAAGACAAAAGATGAAATGAAGGCGGCATCTTTGGAGTCGCTGGTACGATGTGGCATTACGTCGCCAGCCGAGCTTCGCAAAGGGAAGCGAACAGTTCCGGGGGGTGGGGGGCGGTGGTTAGCGAGGCGTCGGGTTCGCAACGGAAGCCGGTGCTTTCGAACGGCTTCTGAGGTTTGTCCCAAGAAGGAGATCTTTCTGTGGCTGAGAAGCAGAAACGGGGAAGACGTGGCTGCCCGCCGGGCGACGGGTGTCAAAGGGGGGGGGGGGGGGGGGGGGCTGGCAATTTTTGAGCTTGTGGTTGAGCAGATTATTGAAAACTCGACGGGATTAGGTTCCGTGTGTTGACGTGTAAACCTTAAGGGGGTCGGTTTTCCCACTTCCCATGCTTTTCTTTTTCTTGCAGTGATTGCGTTTTGATTTTGGGATGACTAGGAATACATGTTGACTGTGCACTGCTCTGCATGCACGAAGATAGATTTAGGCTATTTCCACTTGGGGCGGTCGAAGTGGAAAAGTTCGTCCGAAGAGCATCCCCCGCTTACAAAAAAACGCCTTTAACCCTGTATCGAGGTAGAGTTTGAGGGCTGAGACACCGCCTGGGGTTTTTGAGATGGCACTGGAACGACTTTAGGCTAGTTCGAGGTCTCACGGGTCACCAAAGCAAGGTGGGGGTTTTTGAAAGGGATGGGCCTCGATCATGCATGGTAGAGATGAAGTCGCGTTTAACTACACATCGTTGAAATAGATAAAGATCAAAAATAAAAGTAGTAGTGATTGATTGCAATGGAGGTTGAGCTGCGAAGTGGTGACTACCCGGGCAAAATGATATGGCTAGGGTTAAAGCACATGGCGCAGATAACTCTACTTGTCAGGTGTTACTCGTTAAGACAAGCCACGAGCCCCATGCAAGAACGAGTCGCACTTTGACCACATGAGTACGGAGTAATAGCAGTCGTATTGGTTGTCCAGACTACACCCGCTGCACCAAGTACCCCTCCCCCAAAGGGCATGGTACGTAGCTATCACGTGTAACAACTATAGAGGCAGAAGTCCCAGGCCGCCATATCATTCTTAAGCACGAGACAAGATTATCTACGGCCGTGTTGCTTTTTTGAGCATCGGCTCGGTATAACGACAGCGCAAGAAGTCGGTCAAAAGTCTCGTCATTTTCCCCTTCAATTTTCCTCATCGCATTGAACACTTAAACTACCACAAGAGGCCAGCTTTCGACGGCATGGAAGAGCGAAATAGTAAATGAGCCTTAACCCTTTACCAGTATCAAGTGCTGAGCACGATCCGCAAATCACTCTCCCGCACGTGCTCCCACGCCCGTTTTGTCATGCTCTACCTGCAGAAGTCGCTCTTCCCGCTGCCGCCATCTACACAGTTGCCGCAGTAGACATTCCAGCGAATCCATCCGTCGCTGCCGCAGTGGAAGAGGGAATGTCTCTCGTACGGGTCCTCACGGGGGAGCCCGACTCTCTTGAGCTCGTTGTCGATCTCGCTCATGTACTTGCCTTTTGGTCCAAAGAGTCAGCACATCGCACGATAAGCGAGAGAGTGGGAGGATGGGGGTTACCCTTCTTCAATAGGTTGTAGCCGCAGTACTCGAGACCCTCGGTACAGGCTTTAGCCTCAGCAAGGGGGTACATAATGCTGGTCAGCGCAAGAAGAATAGTCATTGGCTTCGTCATGATGGATATGCTGGCAGAAATTGGATTGAAAGCGGGTGGTATGGATGGAGATGCTAGTTGATAATGAACTGTTTGAATGAAGCTGCCCTGGTGGTTCTTTCCAGTTATCAATTATTTGCAAGGACAGGAGAGTCACTTAACTTATAGTTGTAGTCTCGAAGGGATTGTCTGGTTATACTCTAGTCTCTCTGCTAGGGTTCGAAAATTGTCAGCCATCAGATGTTGTTGAGTCAATGTCCACCCAGCTGAGTGCTAAATCAGCATAGACGCCCAATTGTATGCAGCTTATGGATCTGTACTTACTGCGTAGTACAAGGAACTCAGCAGCCAATAGTTGGAAGTAAGGGCATACGAGACACAAACACAGCCACCAGCAATGGCTATCACTTGCATATACTATTGCTAGTGTGTGGTGATTGGTGCTTAGGTCAGAACTGTTTACGCAAAAGTTACTGTCATAAAGCCAATTAACATCCCATTGCAGAGAAGTATCTAGATTGTTTTCTTCACGTGTTTGCTTGGCAGGCATATAGACACCTGATTCACAGACAACACATCGAGAAATGCTTCGCCAGCACTGAAGGGAAAGAACACAGCGAGTGCGCATGTTCAGTTACCCCTCCATCGTTAAGTCAATATTGCTTGTAGTTTTGAGGTCTCCTTCCCGGCAGACGAAGGAGGCTAGAATTCAAAGCTCTGCCGCTTCCAGCAACACATCTGTACTTTTAGTGATCAGCTGGATTCAGCCGTAAAACAACAACGATGTTTTACCTGCAGTAAGACGACCACTTGTCAGCATATCTACTGCTGGTTCAACCGCATGTCTTGGCGTGTATTGCACGAGAGAGCGGAGATGGTTGTAGAGTCTCCGGAGAACAATCACGTCCGTATGATGAGACAGTACAATTCACGTAACAGAAAAGTGGCCATGGAATATGGCGCATATTGCTTCTTCCTACACCTTGACATCAGACCATGTTGGGCTCGCGACTCCGTAAAACCAGCGAATCGGGGTTGAGGGGGTTTGAACAACTGGCTTGCAGCAGCGCTGTAAGCATGCCCACAACCTGTTTGGGAACGACGCCACGCATTCTGTGCGGGGGAACGAACTGATGTTTGATCGTATCAGCTGTGGAAAGATGCATCGTGGACGGGCGGCTGTCACGAATCGGGCAGTCCAGATAGACAGCAACTTATGATAACTAACTCATCGGCACCTCCGGTATGTATGCGCGGGGTTCTCACTAAGCGCTTGCCTGACTGGGTGTCTGGCTAGCATCAGATTGCATTCGGGCCAGCGCGCAAGCCGTTTTTGTTGCGCCTTGATGTTTGCCAAGCCTAAGAGTTGATCCGCCGTTGCTGTGGTAAAGCTATGTATACCAGTCCGGCCAGTGTGATGATTCGTGCTTAACGCTGAAAACGCCATGCCACAATCTGCACGCCTTAGCGCTTTACACCTCCATGGGCGACCGAGAAGAGTCGGTAAGAAAAGCCTTGTAAATTGTCAGTTCCAAGCCCCATATTCGTGTGCGAGCACGGCAACCAAAGCATGATGTTAAAACCCTACATTTGCAGGATGCAGACAACCTTGTGCGTCCCAGCTGGCCATTGTTGCATACGAGCCGGGCCCGGGTTTCTTTTGCATGGAGCATTTCAGCTGCGGTCACTTAGCCCCATGCAGCATAAGCCGGAGAACGCCGCACGAGTCTTGCATCGAGGATTGTCTGCGCCAAGCTAATCGGTATACGTAAAGCGCAGCGATTGAAGGCCTGTACGGCGAGTTGTTTCCTATCCCGCCAGATGTCAAACCCTTTCGCTTATACGTTCACAATGAATCTTCTTCAGACCGATGGGAACTAGGATCCCTATAAGTATAGCAGACTCGCTACCAAGGCCCTAGGGCTTTAGAATCAGAATCTTTGCAACTCCTCGAGCAACGCCTCGTCTGCGCTCAACACAACTTTTTCCAGTCCTACCAGCCAACAATACACTATGATGCCCCCAACTCTAACTCAAATTTTCCATCTTCTCATGGCGCTGTTCATGGCGGCTGCTGTCCTTGCTGAGACCGGCGTCACCACCCGGTACTGGGACTGTTGCAAGCCATCGTGTGCCTGGCCCGGCAAGGCACAGGTTTCGGAACCCGTGCGGACCTGCAACAAGAACGACAAATGGCCCATCCCGCTCGACCCCAACGCGCAGTCGGCTTGCAATGGCGGCGACGCGTACACATGCAGCAACAATGGCCCGTGGGCTGTCAACAACAACCTGGCGTACGGCTTTGCGGCAGCTAAACTCACCGGGAAATCTGAGCGAGACTGGTGCTGTGCATGCTACAAGTAAGTCGAATCTGATGTGACCTAGCCGTAGTGTAGAAGATCGACACTCAAACAGTGGAAAATGAGAACTCTGAGGACCAATCGTGGAGGCATTCTCTAGCTTGTTCTACGCGGCTGACAATTCTCCCAACCTACCAGGCTCACCTTTACGTCAACCTCTATTGCCGGCAAGCAGATGATTGTCCAGGTGACCAATACTGGCGGCGACTTGGGGGCCAACCACTTCGACATCGCCATCCCTGGCGGCGGCGTGGGCATGTTCCCGCAGGGGTGCCAAGCGCAGTTCAACGGTGCCTGGATGGGCGACACCTACGGCGGTTACCGGAACAGGAACGACTGTAACAACCTCCCCGCGGGCCAGTTTCGCGACGGCTGCTTCTTCCGTTTCGACTGGTTCCAGAACGCCCAGAACCCGACCGTCGAGTTCCAAGAGGTGTCTTGCCCGCAGGCCATGATTGACAGGTCGCATTGTGGTCGCTGGAGCTCCAGGGTCTTGGTCGACCAGAGCCAAGAGAGGGTTTACCAACAGCCCGGCGAAGAACTGTAGATCGATCTGTCTCCCGGAAGAAGCGCCGGGCCATGGACTCTCTTGGCTCGTAGGGGGAAATTGGTGACACGGAACTGAAGACGGCACTATTCTTGTGTGATCCGAAGGTTGTAAGGAGAACAAAAGGCAGTTTTGAATTTGCTAGGCTTGAATGGGTAGTCATTGGCTTATTGAGGGGAAATTGATAAATGCGTTTCGTTGGATTAGACTATCCGCTAGTTTTGGCATTGCCGCTAGTTGCTGACAACCTGAACTAAGATCGACCCTGCGCACCACCGGTTCGGATGTAGGTATGTTGCCATCTGATCTATCTCACCCACAGATGATCAAAGGCAGAAATGCCGGGCCGGCGACCCTTACCCCAGAGTTGGCATGCATGAGTGGCTTCCGCCGCGTTGTTGCACAGCAAGAGAAATTCGCAGTGCAATGAGACAGAAACCTGGATTGGTCTCACTTGAGCAACACTGCAATTTCCTACTACGTAGAGCTCGACTTCTGACAAATAACGCCCCGGGCTGATGCCTGATAGCAGAGAATCACTCTCTGGCATTCCTTTCCCTCAGCGAGGAAATCCACCTCATGGACAGTGCCACTTCGTGTACGTGTCGAGGCACACTTGCAAACGCCCGCACGAGCAGTGAAAGACAACAGGTACCGAGCTGCCAAGAATTCCAAACCGTTGGTGTGAACGAACGTCCCGTATGTTCTGTAATCTTTCTGCCTTGTAAGCCGCGGCATATACAGCAGCCTCTAATACTCGTGGAACACGACTTTGAGTCGCTGCGGATGTTGCAAGAGTACAAGGCCCATAATGAGGCTATGGCTGTAGGTAGCCTCTCTCATTAATCATTAAAACCAGTTCACTTGATCAGCTATTGATCGCGCAATGGGTACTACAACCACCACTACTCAGCGGTGAGGACAGCATCGTTGATGCCACTATCATCGTACTGGTTTTCATAGTCTCTTGGCGGTCAAAATGTTGCAGATCGAACAAGAATTGCCCCTCCCCGGATTCATGTCTTTCGGTCGGTCAATAGAAAGTCAACAATAAGGCGTGTTTTCTCCGCTCTTACTCTCTTCGCTAGTTATGGCTTTGCCTCGGATCCCATCCCCGCCATATTTCGCTGCGCACATAGACACTCACAGCCGATTCTGTGACCATTTATAGACACGCTAAAAAGCCAGGAGCCCGTTAACCTGGCTTTGCAAAGACGGCACCTCGCGCTTCTTCGGGCAGAACCTTGATAGGGTCAATCAAGACCCTGCCTGGGGAACGATGATTTCTTGCCAGGGGTCGCCTCGACAGCAAGTTTCTAAAGACCGACCCCGTGCTCACGAAGGGCAGGGGAGCTGGGGAATCACTATGCTGTGTCTCGTCTTCATCTTTCGCAGACAGGATGGAGGTCGAGAAGAACGATCATAAAACAGACTCGGAGCTGGCCAACACCGCGTTGACAGAATGACTACAGAGGCGAGGCTTCGTACGCCCCCAAGACATTCATTCGTGCGGAGACCTCCCCTTTTATACCTTCTCCTCTACAACGAGTGACTTATAGTCGTACCCTTGTAGTATTACAAAGAGCCTTACTGAGTAAAAGTATCACAATATATAAGCTACTATTACTGCCTACGTAACTAACAGTATTGTTTTATTACATAACAGTTATAAGCCTAGCTTCTGCCTGCCAGTATACTACAATAGTATATATGTTAATTTAAGTGCAGTAACTAGCTATAGATCTTAAGCACTGTGGGTTTAATTCCTATTAGGGTCCCCTAGTTAAAAATCCTACTAAAGTCTATAGATCTTCACCACCTATGATTAGCGAGATGTACCTAACTAGGTTTTCATCAAAAGTGTGTTCAGATCTGACTTTCTAGGTTAAATCTGGGGGGTGTGTCACGATATATAAGCTACTATTACTGCCCACGTAACTAACGGTATTGTTTTGTTACGTGACAGAAAGACTGTCAGCAGGCAAGGTGGCAGCAGCATTCTGTTATGCCTCGGCCGTGGAAAAGGGCAAAGCTGATGACTGACACAGCAAGCGGGATCCCAGCTTCGGTGCCAGTTTTGCATTTCGTCACGCGCGGCTCGACTACTGGAAGACACCATTTCCTGTTAGAATCCTCCCAAGCTGCGCGGTTGTAACAGGGACTTGGCCGTGGCAGCGCAACACCTGTCGCCATGAAGTGATACATATAACCTGTTGATACACTCTATTGGCTTCGGGGTATCTCATGGGGACTTTCCGGATTCCTAGGTTCCTTGACTTTGACAGCCCGTAACTTTACATAGTACAGACTTCCACATACTACAATCGCCATTTACGTTTTTAGTAGATTTGTGGCTGTTTAGAATTCGATGAGCAACCTGTTTGTACTCTTGGGAAGTATTGTCAGTGTCACGCTCCGTGACAGAATCGCCATGGCTTTGTTTAGGGTCGTGACAGCGTACATCGTGTGCCGTTGTCTATAATCAAAGTGTGGAGGACGTTACTCTTCTAGACCAGCACGACCGAGTGATTAACAACGCGCTCAGTGGTCGCTGCAGAAGCGACACGCATTTCTATCTCGCGTGCAATGAGGTTGAGAGGTAGAGGCATCGAGTCGCCACAAACGTGGAGTCTTGTCCGCCTGGGGTTCTTCAATGGAAGGCAATGCAAACAGTTGCCAGCATAACTCTGAGCACAGGACGGGACGGAGAGAACGCCTTTTTCTACCAAGACGGCCGATAACGGTTTTGGGTACTATTCACGTCAGCGAGAACAAGAGGCCGGGAGCATAACTCTTCTCCTCAACTCCGTCAGCCAGCTTGCCTAGTCTCGGTCGTAGCCAGGTCACTGCTTGAAGCGTACTCCCGTTATCTGTTTCTCAGGTGATGGATATTGATCGAGTCAAGGCTTGAGAAGGCCTTGACTTGCCGTCATAAGAGCACAACAATAATTTCATAGAAGGAATGGTTTTTCATATTGAATGTTTTTTTTCCCTTTCCATGTATCTCATAATAAGTGACATTTAGCTCGCCGCACCTTGGCCTTTACGCGCAATCCGAAAAGCGATGCTGGAGCAAAACGTTAACTAAGCTAAAGTCAAACAACGCCCTTATCAGACTCACACAACTTGTTACCTAAGCGCGGTGATGAAAACTGAGCAAAATGGTTGGGGACGAATTTCACAGGCAACCGACTTGGATATTGCCGAGACCGGGACATGCAGGCCGTTAAGTATCACAAGCCGCCGAAGGGCTCACCCTTGCTCGTGATTGAATGTTGGGAGGGTGGCGTCCGCTCTACGGCAAACCCAACACAGGTGAAGGAGACGCTACGTGATGAGCTTGGAGATAGCTCGGTCATGTGAGTTTGAGCCGCAAACCTACCCGCCAGTAGAGCAATTGCCCTTCACCGACCCCATGACAATACGATCTCCACATCTACTAATGCACGTCGAGCAGTTGTCGAAGAAGCCCCCATCCGGTTTGCAGCGACTGCCGAGGTTTCGACTTGCCTTTAAGAAACAAGATACCCCACAAGAGGCGTGTCGTGTGACTGAGGCCTCTGAGCTGGTCCATCGCGTTGTCTAGACGCCGGGCACCGACCGACCCAGAGGCCGTTTGCGTCCGCGTTGCTGCTCACTGTCACATCTCGCTGAAGCGGCATCGGTCGGCGGGAGATTCCCGACCCAGTCCTAAAACGGCAAAGTGCCATGCCAGTGCTAGCCAATCCAGTTGACCCCACTGGCTGCTGCATGGAGCCATCACCTCCTATCACGCCGTTCCTTCACCGTGCGGAATTTGAGACCGTCGCTCCTCTTTTGGAACCCCAGAGTTTGGAATTGGGCAGACATATGACGATCCAGCCAGTGAGAGTCGTTGTCCTGTTGCCGGCCGCATTGTCAGTGGCCGGAGGAATGCAGACCGAGATGTGACAAGCCCGGAAGGGTGGGGTCCCTTGGGCTCACCGGGACCCGACAGGGAGAGACGTGACATCCGGTGTCCGTTCCCGCCACCCTCTTTTTCTCCTACCCCTTCAGGCGCCGCCAATAGAAGTGGTTCGGTCAGATGTGAGTATCATGTACTGACTTCATTGCGGTTGAGCGCTCCTCTTTTGATGGGGCAGGATGGCGAAACCGAAAGCCTGGAGCGACAGAAGACGCATACCGACAAGACGCTCAGCAGTTGGTTTTGCTGTTGTTCTCCCTCTACACAGCCTGCAAGCTGACAAAAACAGCCGGTGCAACAGCTATCTGAGGCGCAAATCCCACCAGTGGGTGCGTGACGTGCATATGCCGCTAATGGTGGACACACATTAATGGTGCCAGGTCGCCAACTCGGCAAGAGGACCCAGAGGAATGAAGACCAGACATTTCGTCGAAGTGGGGATGCTCTTGATGTTGGCCCTTTGACGAAGGAATCGACTGAAGTTGCATCGTTGTTTGGCACGCCTATGAAGGAGACATAGCCACTATGCAACTCGAGGCAGGTGCTTCGTCAGTCGGCACCAGATTACGATAACGCCAGCTCAGTCCAAATCCCCAACCCGGACCGTGACCCGACCCGATGTACATGCCAGTTTTTAATACGTGACCTTTGTCACAAGCATGCCAGACGTGGGAAAGCATGTTCGGTCTTGGGGTGGTTGCATTGCATGGCCACAAAAGGAGAAACCCATGACAAGGCATGCAGCAAAACGTTGCGAGCTTCATCTTGTTCGAGGGGAAGCGCAGATGCAGCGGGATTGAGGGCGGATGGTGATTCGTGGTTCTGGCCAGAATAAACAAAGACTAGGTTTGCTAGTGTGGGGGTGAGCGGAGACCTATCGGAAAGAGAGTTGCGGTGAGGCTGGCGGTATATCCCGGTGAGGGCACCGGCGTCATTGGCCGAAACAGAAGCAGAGAGAGGATCGGAGAGAGAGGGCGGTGGGCGGTCGCAGCAATTTGCTAATTGCATCGTGGGGCGGCAGGGAAATGGTGGTTGTGACCGGCTCAAAGCAGCCAGCCTACCATGAGGGCGGATACCGAAGGTGAACGGGCTGAGATTGGGACGCGAGATAGGGAAAGATATGGGCGCCTAGCTTCGTGTGAAGGGTAACTTGAAGCGCGACTATGCACTCACTTGGCCTAATGGGTCGTTGCGACATGAGTTTGATCCTCGAGTTGATGCTCGGGTCATTGGCCTTCGGGCGTGGAACGAACCAGTTATGTTCGTTTCGGTGCATTAGGCCGTTGATGTCTGACTTGAAATACGGTCAATTGTCAGATGCATCTTACAATTGGCTCTCGACTCTGGGGACCGAGGTATTCCGAACGTTTCATTGGAACTCGAGAATTGAAGGGCAGTTGTCAGGGTCGCAGCCCGAAGGTGGAAGAGCGGCGACTCAGCTACCCGATCCCGTTATCCGGTGGGCGGAAGAACAAGGAGGGGGCGGGCAGGACGAGGCCATAGGATGAGGAGGTGCGGCGCAGTGCAGCGCAAAGCGAAGGGGACAGGGTCCACGTGGTGCGCATGACATGTCTTTCTTTGGCCAGGGCCATCATCGGCATGAGGTCGTCGTCGAAGGCGCTCCCATCGTCTGCTGCCTCGTCGCAACTTGCCTTGCCCAAATGGATCCGGTGAACTGATCCTTCGATCCGGTCGGGCAGACAAGACACAGACACTTAGTTCTGAGCGGCTCTCGTTGACAGGTTAAGGCAAAGTGACGTGACGAGACGTTACGAGCGTGGCGTGATTTGACACGACGTGACAGGACGCGATGAGATGGTAGATGTGCCCGGTCCAAGAGATCGAGTTTCTAATTCGCATCAGTGGCCATCCGTTTCCCGCTCTTGTCCGTGGTGAAGCCACACACGTGCCTAGTGGACGGGATATGGCTGAGATGCCCCTCAGCCGAGAGACACGGAGACCAGACGTTCACACCACCTCTGGTCGGTGAGCGTTCCTAGTGGGCTGTTGAAGATCGTCGGCCGGGCCGTGGGCTTCATCTGGCGGGCTGGGCCTTCTTGACCACGCTGATGGTTGCTTGGGTGGGTGGAGAGAGACTGGTGCATCCTGCGTGACTGTCTGACAGCCTGTTAAATCCCCTCCTTTTGGCGATGATATCCATATGTGCGTGAGCGAGTGTCAATGTGTCCGCGACGAGGCCAGATACTTATCCGTATATCCCCGATCCCATGCAGCTCTGTATTGTAGCAGAGGGTGGGTGCTGTAGGTTTTGGGGCTGGCTTGGCTTGCTCGTTTTAGTTTGGAGACGGTCGTTGCCGTGTTGGCCTGAACGGGGGGGAGACGCCTCCATAATTTTCCCTTGATTCAAGCATCTCGTCTAGATCTCAAAGTGGATCGCGGGGGGTGGGAGGCGCTTTAGAGGAGAGGGATACATCAAGGACAGCGAGGAAGCAGGAGCAAAATAAGAAGGCGCAGAGCAAAGAGGCAGGAGCTAGGTAGTTAGGAGCTAGGTGCAAGGAGCTAGGAGCTAGGAGCTAGGAGCAGCGGTTGGGCGGCAAGAACAGCCGTCGTGCTTTCCCTTTTCTTCACCTGCCAGCCTCAGACTGCGAATGGGAGGAAGCTGCTTTCACCGTCGGAGCAAGTCACTCCCCTGCCAAAAAGACATGACGATATACCTTGGATATGGATGGGGGAAGGTCTCTCTGGCCCCGCCATCCCACACTTACCACTCACCACTCACTCGCGCACTCAATCACTCAGTAATTATCGCACCTAACCCACCTTCAGCTTCGTCCCACATTCGCTGCCCCTCGCCTACCCACATTTTGCAGAATCTAGTGCGTGCGTGCGGTCGAGTGTGGGCATGTGGAGGAAGGACAGGAAGGACAGGAAGGTCACCAGCCCCTGGACCCCTTCCTTTTGAGTCTTGACATGACATGACATGCTAGTGGTCCGTCCCCCCCCCCCCCCCCCCCCTGCTCTCACAGGCCAAGGTGCTGTTTTCCCCTCCTTCCCCTTCAAGGGTTGGAAAAATAAAATAAATCGGTGCCGGGTCAAGCGCTCCGCAAAGCCTGAGTAGTCGTAGCGAGGTGTCCAACGTGCGTGTATCCGTACCTCGCCCAAATGCAGCGCATGGCATGGTTCATCATGGTCTAGGGGGGCAGGCCACGTAAACAGGAAGAGGAAAGCCACGGTGCAATGGTAGATCAGAAGAGCTCTACAGAGCAAGTGCGGGTGCGGCTTCCTTTCCGAGGTGCAGTGTGCAGCCGGAGTGTCAAAGCTGACTTCACATTTTGGGGGTTTGGGCATGCGTACTTGGGCAATGTATTCTATTGGCAGTTGCCATGCTGTTGAGACGTTGTCGTGGGTGGGTATGAACACAGGCCAACAACAGAAATAGACGATTAGGTAGAACATTTCGTAAGGTCGGCCGACTGGGCTGTGTCGCCCGTCCACTTCCTCTACCCGACGACTTTTGCCCTCGTGGTTGTATCGGGGTGTCCTGCCCGGCCTCCAAAACTTTTTTTTCTTTTTCTTCTTCTTCTTCTCCCCAAGCGTCGTTCCATCAGCCTGTTTGCGAGATCGCGCTCATCTTGCATCGAGTCTTTATGGGGAAGGTGTGGAAAGTACACTCGAGGTAGAAAACACTTGTGTACCTAAAGAAGAAAACATGATGCTATAAACTGACACAAGGTCAAGGGAGGTAAAGTGAGCCACTAACATCCACGACCCTCGTCCACCACCGACATAACTGGATTACACAGTGACCCGAAAGTCAGTTCCAGTTACTGTGCGGCGATTCCTGTTCAGCCCTTGGCAAGCATTGGCAATAAGCAACAAGCAGCTGTATCTTGGCCCGGATCGGAAATCGGGATATCAAAAGATACAAACGTCCCATCAGCACAGAAAACATCAGACCAGAATCCCAGGCTCGGATCCAAAGCCCAGACTAGTTTACCTAGGTAGACCCGCCCGACAAAAGTCACAACCCTCACTCAGATCACCCACTCACTCAGCACCGAAACCCAAGCCATCCCACTCTCTCGACCCGAAACCCACAACATCCACGATCCCTGCCACTAGGTGGTTCTCACCTCTTTTTTCGACACACAGAAGTGGCCCTGATCTGGTCACACATTCATCTGTCTGTTTTCTCAAGCCCCAGTTTTTGATATATGCTGCGATCAGAAAGAGAGAAAGGCTAGGTATATCGATCATCTTGACTAGCAATCACCGGCTATCCATCGTGCCACCACCTTCCCGTCTTGTTCATACTGCGTTCCTGGACTGGGAGAACACACACACACACCTACACCTACACACAGACATATCCTAACCCTCGTCCTCTTTTCCTTCTTCCCTCCCCGTCCATCTGGGTGTGACATCCCAGGCCGGCCTAGACTGATCGGTACTTTTCCAGAAGTACCTTCCGTCCTCACCTTGCATGCTCCTCCTCCATCGCACTCGCACACGCCCGCAAATACACGCACACACACACACACACACCCCATCGAAACCATAAGTTTTGAGAAGTACCTGTACCACCAGGGTCAGTCACCACCATCACCACCACAATCGATACCTCCATCGCCGCTCACCCGACCTTATTTAGGTACAAACACCACCCTTTTGCCGTACACTAGGTAGGTACCTAGGTATATACAGAGGTGCTATACCTACCAGGGGGCCTGGCCCGTGCTTTCTTCCCTCTTTCCCTCCCCGGTGCTCTGTGCACCGACCTTATTTTTTTTTTAATTCGTGCACCTTTGGCCTCGGCCTTCATCCTCCCATCTTCACACACCTCGAATTGGGACGGTGGATTGGAAACCAAATATCACTTCCTTTGTTCTTTTTGATTTCTTTTTTACTTTGATTGATCCTCGACCGTCCGTCCCTGCGGTGTTTCTGCCCGGCTCCCGGGTCTCAATTGCTCTCCCCAGCCTTCGGCGCATTCTTCTGTCTAGCTGCTCCCCGCAGAAAGGGCCCGTTTCTTTTACCCCTCACTTTTCTCTGCTCGCACGTTGCTCGCGTCGGTGAATCTCGGTGGGGCTCTGCTCACACAATCTGCTCCGACTTCAGAGAAAACGCGCGACAGCCACTCGGAGCAAAAAGTGAAGAGCGAGAAAGAGGAAAAGGCGCAGGGCTCTTTTGCTTACCACACACTCTCTTCTCGTCATCATACCTTTTTTGCCACACACACATATAACGCTTTCACATCGAGGATGGGTCAAGGGTAGTTGCTGTTGTGACAAAGGGATTTAGACAACATACTTGCAAGCATGCATCCGGCTCCGAGTCTGCTGGAGGCACCTCCGAAAAACGGCAGTGAGGATTCTGGCAACAGGCCCCAAACCGGCTCGCCCTCCATGTCGCAACATGAATTGCCCCAGTCTCAGCACTCTCCAGTCCAACAGCACGTACAGCCGTCACTTCAACAGCAGCCACAAGAGCAGCAGCAGCACCAGCAGGTTACTCCTCAACAGCGCCAGTCTTCGCAGCAACCTCCTCCCACCCCCGGCCAGTCGGCTTCTCCTCCTCTGAGAAAGGACACCAATTCGTCCATCTCAACTCAGGCCACTGCGGCCTCCGCAGCCACCAATATGTCCGCGGACACAAGCAACACATCGTACAGTGCCGACACCTCTCCTAACCTAACATCCATATTCCATGTCAAGGATGGCTCCGACGTCTCTAACCGGGTCCGCGCGAGCAGGAGGCGAACCGGTCCTTTGTCCCAGCAACAGAGAGAGAAAGCCGCGCTCATCAGGAAGCTTGGCGCCTGTAACGACTGCCGTCGAAGGAGAGTTGCAGTATGTCGCCTCGATCTCCAACCCAGCCGTGTCTCCAAAGGTGCTCACCCCTGCTGACTGTTCTGCCCTCGTCAAGTGCCATCCCAGCCATCATAACATGACATGGGAGGATGCTGTTAGGAAATATCACAGGTCTCATAGCCCAACGATCCAGGACATCGCCCCGTCCATGTCGGCGCAGCGTCCGCTCAGTCCTGCTCCTGTCATGAACAACGTGAAGTCGATGTACGCGCATGACCCTCAGGAGATGGATATAGACTCTCCAACGCCCCCAGGACAGCACCGACTGAGCGAATCCCGCATTCGCACACCACTCCCGACCGGCCCCAGGCTCGACAAGCCGCCAATGTTGCCGGGTATCGAAAGTCTAAAGTCGGATCTGCAGACGAACGTCTCAAGGATCCTTTCCACGCCCAGCCGCAGCCGCTACTCCAGCGCACAGGCTCTACTGCTGTACTGGCAAGACGACCCTGACTTTACTGTCGGAAGCTCCGTCAAGGATCTGGGAGAGGTTTTTGACCAGTATTACCGGTATACGTTTTCCATCACCACAATCCCGTCTGCCTCGGAGGCCTGCAAGAGCCCGTGGAGATGGCTTTCGCGGAAGATCACCGATTTCGTGGAGGACCGCGACCAACGGGACGTCTTGAAGATTGTCTACTACAATGGCCACTCCTACCTGGACGGGAACCGGGAGATGGTACTTGCCAGGTGAGTTGCGTGCGCGGGATTGTTAGGCGCCTGCAAACTGACCTTACCCCAGCTCCAAGGATAAGGATAAGGCCGAAACGATCCGATGGAGCGGCATCCAACAGGTATTGGAGGAGGCTTGCTCGGATACTCTAATCGTCATGGACGCCGCCTTCTTCCCGTCTTCGAAGATGCACCGCCAGCAGGGTGTTTTGGAACTTATTGCCGCAGCCGTTTCCGAGGAACACTTCGATGCCCTGGACCGCTGCACCTTCACAAAGGTGCTCACCGAACACCTCAAGACTCGCGCTTCGCAACGCTTCACGAGCCCCTTCTCCGCGGCAGAGCTCCACTCGAAGCTGCTGTCCAACTATCCATCCCTCGTCCAAGACAGGAATCCTGAAAAGGAAACTATCACAAGCTTTCCCTCGCCGCTCCATATGCAGATGTCCGGAAACGCTCGACTACCCTCGATCCTCCTTGCCCCACTAAACATCGGCCCCTTGAGGACGAGCTTGCCGTTCGGTACCGAGGGCCAGCAGCTTGTCCTGTCTTTCCGCATAGGCGACGAACCCATGGACATAGATAACTGGACCGAGTGGTTGAGGATGATGCCAGAGGGAATCAAGGATGTGAGGGTTGACGGTCCTTTCCGGCCGTCGAGATAGCCCTTTCGCCGGCTTTAAAGAGTCGCCATTTTATACGTTTTACCAAATCTCCTGGGTTCTTTGTAAGGAGGTATTTTCCGAAAAGGGGCATCTCGAGGGGAAACTAGGCAGCGAGTGACGACGGGCAATGAGTGTTCCGCCATCGAGATTGCAGGCACTACTCCTGCTCTCTCCTCGTCTCCTCGCCTCCGCATACAGCCCAAACACCTCTTCTCTACCCAGCCCGTCAAAGGGCTGGCTTTTCATGCGTTAACGAATTTTTTTTTTTTTTTTCATGACACAACCGCATCATTCATCCCTCTCGTCAGGCTTGGGGGAGGGCGAAAGGTCGGGCGGAGTTGGAGAGTCAAAATTTACAGATCCATACAGAGTCCATACCCAACAAACACAACCGGCATTCTCCTCCGTTTATATTTCATTTTACTGACTGATTTTTGGGAAACCTTGAGAACGTTTCGACTCTGATATCGGGGGGTGGCTTTTTTTTTTTCCAGCGCGGAATTCATGGAAAGGGAGGCCTCATGGGGCAATGCATGCATCGCAGGCTGAAGAGTCAATGCGGATGCCATTTGGTCGATTTTTTTGAAGAGAATTCTTTGCATAAGTGGATATCCCAAGCTCGCTTTTTCGAAAGACTACCTCTGGAGAAGCCCTCTCCCCCACACTTCCCTCTCTCTCTCTCTCTCTCTCTCTCTCTCTCTCTCTCTCTCTCTCTGGTTGCACGCCCTACCATGCACTATGCTGTCATCCAAATGCTAACCCACTCCTATTCCAGTGTCCCTTTTCCTATTTCCTATTCCCAAGGAGTGACAATGCAAACCACCATGAAATCCGATATAAGAGAGCCGTCTCTGGGCCGTGTCCGCGGTATACATACAAGAAAGAGGCCGTTAAATAAATCAAGAAGAACCACCCCCTCCCCATCTGCGCATTTTACTATTTCTTCATACCTGCTTTCACAGACCTCAGAAAGCATGCGCCACAGCCACCGCCGCCGCGCCCATGATGCTCGCGACCAGGCTGATGTCCGCCCTCGCCGCGGGGCTGTTGGATTCGACGTTGCCGATGGCGAAGCCGGGTTCGTACTCGGCGACGTCGCGTGTGTCGAGTGTGCCGTTCCAGCAGTACCGCTGGAAGCAAGTGGTGCACGCCGCGGGCACGGGTTGACGTTCACGGGCCATGTTGCGCGAGAGGATGGCGCAGGCGACGCAGACGGGCCATTCGGCGTCGAGGGTGGCGTTGCCCTGGGTGGCCGCGTCGTAGCCGTTCTGGATGATGGCGTCGCGCTGGTCGAGGCTGTAGCTAGGGTCGAAGGTGGACACGTTGGAGTGGGCGACATAGGGCGCATTGGGAATGTATACGACAAGGGGCGGCGCGCGCTGGCCGCTGCGGAGGGTGAAGTTGGAGGCGTCGCAGCCGAAGAAGGCCGGACGGCGATTAAGGCCGAGGTTGATGAAGGTGTTAGCATCAGGTACGGGCGGGAAAAGGGTGCCGTTGGCGATGGGCTCTGAGACGCGGTCGTAGGTGGCGCGGATGGCGGTGCCGTTAGGCCAGTGAAAGTTTGTGTCAGCTGAGGAGTCGACAGCGAAGATAACGTCGACGGCGCGGTTGGGCTGGATCAGCGGGTGAAAGGGGATATTCTGGAGGTCCTCGCCGCCGTCGACAAGGGTAAGCTGGGATTGGTTGGCGTTGATGTTGGTGCGGGGGTTCCAGCCGAAGAATGGGTTCGGCGCATACTGCGCGATATCGTTGTTGTCCTGGTCAAGGAGGTTAAGGATACTCGTGAGGGCGCTCTGGATGAAATCGGGGAGGCCAGTCGTGGACATGTTCTGGAGCAGGAACTGGTTGAAGAGGCTGGACGAGGTGCCCATGACGAAGCCGGCCTGGTCGAAGCCGCGGACGCAGGACCCGTTATCGGCGATGCGGCCGGCGGAGAAGTTAGAAGCAAGGTAGGCGAGGGGCGCGAAGCCGAAGGCCGTGTTGTCCCAGGTGCCGAGCTCGAAGGGGTTGAACTCGTAAACGGTGGCGTTGAGCGAGATGATGCGCTCGCCAGGGGTGCGGCCGTCAGCGACCAGGATGGGAAACGGCTGGGCGCCGGCCTGGAAGTCGGACGACTCGGCGATGGAGGAGAAGGTGTAGGCTGGGCCGCCGTCGGTAGCATTGATGAGCTGGTATGAGAGGGCGCGGCCCCAGTAGTCTGTAATGGAGACCTCGAAGCCCTGTTCTTTAGTTTCCACCTGGCGGAGGATATCCCTCCAGTACTCGGCTGTGTTGACGATGGAGATGCCGCGCTCCCGGGGGCCAGAGAAGATTGAACGGTCGAATTTCCAGACGGCTGAGCCTGGAGAGCCGCGCTGCAGGTCGACCACGGAGGAGAAATTGTTGGTGAAGATGGAGCCGACAAGCCAGCCGCCGCCGGACAGACCGGCGAGGTAGGTGGCGGACTGGAGGAGGCCGCCGATGCCGCCAGCGGACGTCGAGTTGGGCGTGCGGCTGTCCGCGGCCGCCAGGAAGCCGGCGCCGTTCATGAGGGCGCGGTACCCACCTCCTGATATCGCGATGGCAACGTTGGGCAGCTGGGACGGCGAGGAGCTGAGGCGGTCAATGTAGGCGCCGGCGTCGAAGTTGGGGATGCCGGCGCGAGTGAGGAAGTCGCGCATGGGTTCGACTGTGGCGCTGCGGCGGCGGGTCAACCATGCCGTCTCGTTGGGCGACAAGGACGACGCGGAGCGAATTGTGGGACGGGCGGCCGGGCAGTCGACAATTGCCGGGGCGTAGCTTCCCGAGGGGGAATTGGGGAGGGCGCGGGGGTCCAGAGCCTCCATGACGATGCCGGCCGCCATTGGCTTCACGGGATCGGCCGCCCACACCGGGGCGACGGCGGCAGCTACTGCCAGCAGGGATGGGAGCAGCATGGTGCGTATCAAGCTACCCTTTTTGGGACTTGGTCCAGAGCGATTGGGGGAAGAAAAAAAAGTCGGAGGGGTATGTTGTGAGGATGGGAACAGAAATGTAAATCAGGGTGCTCAGTAGGGGGTGGGGGGAGATTGGGTATGGAACATATAAGGATAACCCTGAGCCCTCGACTGAATGAAAAGTTGGACGGCAGGGGCGGCAGAGAAGAGCGGCGAAGGACGCCACTAATAACAATAGACTCGAGCGATCTGACTACCCTGCGAGCATTGCCCAGCGGCTGTGCGGCGATGGCCTGACTTAAGTCAGCTTAACGGGGGCTAGAAGTCTTCGGCTTTCCTCGCGGACCCGTCGCGCTAAACAAAAAAGAAGGTTTCCACGCTGGTGTCTGGCTGGGTTATGACGTCTGATGTGAGAAATTGACGGAATATTTGCGAGCGCTGCCTCTTTCCCATCAAGGACGTCGGGGCCTTTGCTCTTCCCGCCGCAGAGCCCCCTTGCAGGCCGATGCGACTCGATGGACGGGGTATTGGTGTAGCGTGGCCGGGTGGGTGGGTGGATAATTGGTGTGAGTTGTCAGTTGACTAGGGGTAAGGATGGGATGAGTTTGAGATTTAGCGAGTGTTTTCCGTCGTGATCTGCGCGAGCGAAGGAAGGGCAATTGGAGTTTTGGAGCTTAGTAGATGCGCCATCCAGCGAGAGAGGTGGCAGAGTGTATTCGTAAGACCTACAGCCTACCCCCCGACGGCATGCCCTGCAGGGCAGATCAGCGGAGACTGGTGGTGGAATCAGTTCGGGGTCTGAAGAGGGGGTTGGATGATGTTCGATATCTTACCCTGTGGACGGTCAGAGTATTGAAAGTGGTTGGCGAATGAGAGGGGGATGAAGGCTCATACAGCCCAGGCTGGGCGTTTCTGAGTGTCTGGGCAGCTAGGCAGGCGGGCGAATGGCTGAGATGGGGACGCGGAAATTGTGGCTTTGGGACGAATGGAAGCGTCCGGATCGCCCGGCTGGGCTAGTGATGATGTGAGCTTGGGGTCCCAAGAGCTCTTGGTATACGCGTATACGAGCTTGTGCCAACCACTACTGGAATGGGCTGCTGCCTTTTTTTTTTCTGGAAGAGGGAGCGGTCAGAAAGCCACGCCAAGGCCTAAGCCGTAAGTTGGAATAGGTGTGCGAACCCCGAGTACGAACGTGAAAGGCGAGACGGCGAAACTTAAGGTCGTCGGGGATGATTTGGAACTTGTCCGGTTGAGGCAAGGAGACAACAACGATACCAACCCTGTGAAAAACTGGGACCAGAAAAAGGGAGGGGAATTAGAGAGAAAGTGAGAGACTAATAGAGAAAGAGAGTGTGAGAGAAACACCGCGGAGGGTGAGCATTGAGGTCAAGCGCCGCACTGCCGGGACAGCCGGGGCAGCCGGTTACACTCTGAGCCCTTTTGTGAGACAGAGGGGAACCTTTCGTCTTCTGCGCTGTCTCAGCTTGTCCGTCTCGTGCCTGTGCTTGTGCCAATACTACGTCTGTGCATGTGCTTGTGCTCGAGCTGCTGTCACTCTCTTTCCCTTGCCGTTGCATGTCTCGATCTAACTAGTGACGATGTGTGACGGTGACACGCCGACTACAGCAGATATTTAGCCTGCGATACTCTCCGTAATGCAACATGGAATTCCCTGCACAACATTCTGTAGCTGGACATGCTCGACTTCATATACAACCGCCAGTGCCAAGAATCGTGCCTGGGACCGATCGGCGGCAACCGAACTAATATCTAGGTACCCAATAGGATGACCTGCTCGTGGTTGACCTACTCGTGGTTGACCTGCGCCACGCTCAACGCCACACAGCTAGAGCCACACATAAAGGCACGTTGGCGCAATAGGTGAAGAAACAACTTCTCGACTTCTCAGCCATGACGTCTAGGCCTCTATCGCAGCCCTCACCGGCATGCTTTTCGCCGAGGAGTATCTTATTCCAAAATGAGGACCGCTCCGTAGTTCTCATCGATATCCCCGCATCTCTGGAGGAAAGCCAGTTTTTGCTGGATCGCCGTGCTGATACAGCAGGACCCCAAAGACGGCTCCTCTCGGCCGACCCCATCACCACGCCCTTTTGTGTGCCGGAACCCCGGGACCCCCTGACCAACAACCAGACGCCGGCGAGCCAACTTGCGGGCCTCATGATCGAGGCGGCTGTGGGGAGCGCCCTCGACACGCTAGAGAAAGGCTACAGCGCGCCGTTCTGCCTCCCCCGGGTGACCGGTGGCGGCGGGAGAAGCAGCGCTAGCAGCGGCAGCGAGTGCAGCAAGAAGAACCTGCAGGATCATTCCGCATGCCAAGATGCCGGGCAGGATACGTCTGCGACTGCGGCAACGGCAGCGGCGCACTTTATTCCAGAAGAGTCTGCCTACCTGAGCGGCTCGATCCAAGAGACTAGAGAGGCGTTCCTCTCGACCGCGCCCAGGTTTGATCTTATCGTCCTGGACCCCCCTTGGCCGAACAAGTCCGCGAGGAGGAAGACTGGCGGCTACTCCACCGCCTACGGTCTCAAGGAGACCCGGGCGCTTCTGGACCAAATCCCTGTTGCCGGCCATCTCGCCGAGGGCGGCCTCGTTGCTATCTGGGTAACTAACAAAGCCACTCTGGTAGACCTGCTCACCTCGCCCAGGGGCGTTCTCGCTAGCTGGGGCCTCGAGGTCGCCGCCGAATGGGTCTGGGTCAAGATCACCACCCGGGGAGAGCCCGTGCTCGACCCCGGGTCCGTCTGGAGGAAGCCGTGGGAGAGGCTCATCGTAGCCAGGAGAAGAGGGGACAACCGCAGGGTGCCGCAGAGGGTGATCGCCGCGGTGCCCGACGTGCACTCTCGGAAACCAAACCTCCGTCACTTGTTCGACGACCAGCTGCCCCGGGGGTACCTGGGCCTCGAGGTATTCGCGCGCAACCTGACGGCGGGCTGGTGGGGATGGGGCAACGAGGTGCTCCGTTTTCAAGAGTCCCGACACTGGATCGCGTGTCCGAAGCCAGAGCTGCGGACTGGGCCGGAGAAAAGCGAGCTTGGCGATACCAATACCAATTGACATGTCTATATCTCATGACAACCTTTCGTGTGTTGTACAAAACATGCAACCTGCATGTTAACAAAGTGCTCTCCTGGATTTTGTACACGTAACAACCCCCGTCATCCGTTTGCCCCCTCCCCGCCCCCTCCTCCAGTAACCTCGCTCTGCCTTATGATGAGTTTTTCTTCCCCTTGGATGCCTTGACGATCTGGTCCCACTTGCTGTCCAACTGTACGTCACTCTTGAAGTCCTTCTTGCCTTCCATCAGCAAGGCCGCCTCGCGGCGCAGCTTCTTGCGCTCGGCGCTCTCCTTGTCCTTGCTCGGGTACGGCAGCTTGCCGAGCTGCCGGGCGACGTCCTCGCGGGCCTGCTTCTGCGACGTCGCCTCGCGCGCGTCCCACAGCTTCTTGTTCCACGGCTCGAGGTCGCCGGGCGGGCTGGGCCACACAAAGGCCTTGGTCATCTGCACCGTCATGAACTTCTGGCTCTGCGGGCGGTAGTAGCCGGCCGAGGCGCCCTTGCGCTCGATGGGCGACTGCTTCACCCACGACCGCACCGCCGTCACCTCCACGCCGTACAGGTTCCAGAGGTAGTCGCGCAGGTCGAACTTTGTGAAGGTCAGGGGCACGTTGAAGGTCGCCCAGTTCGCCGGCGCGCGGTCTTTGCGGATGAGGGTGACGACATGGTTCGGCCTAGGAGGGAAGGGAGGTCAGCGTTTTCTTGCGGCCTGGAGATGCGTGCGTGGCAGGGCGCGATGGGCAGAGTTTTTCTTTCTCTCGGATCGGGGTCGAGGCGTAACGTACAGGAAGACTTGCTTCGTTCCCAGCTTGAAGTTGGGTGCTTGGCGGACTACCGCCTTTGTCAATGCTTCCGCCATCTTGTCGTCGGTGGTCTGCTGCGCTGGATCGAGGAGCTGCTGCTGCGACTCGCGAGAAATCCAAAAAGTTCCCCCAAAGGCCCAGACCACCGATTGCAGTTTGCTGATTGGCCCATTCGGGCTCACGTATTTCCGCGCACTACGTTGCGTGAGTGGAGACCGGGGCCGCGTACTTGGTGGGCCCGGGTGCCGAAAGTCAAACCTCCACACGATTCGCCCGGCTCCGGAACAGATACAGCGGCTTTACAGTATAGTGCCCAGGAGACATCCCTTGACTTGCGGTCCGAAGGACTGCGGGATAATTTTTGGTGTTGAACGTCGCTTGAAATTGCGAACAGTTTTAACGAATCTCCGTACAAGAATCAATCGGGCGAGTACATGCACCAGAACAGAAGCTGGATCATGAGTCAGGCGCTCGCCGTCCTGCCTTCTGAGCATTTCGAGTCTAAGCTGGGTCCAACTGGGATACTTCCATTGTCATCAACGTAACTCGGATATGCAGGGAAGGACATGTCGTTGATTGCCGGGAGGACGACAACGATGGGCAAATATTTCAATGTTGATACATCGTACATTCATCTGGAGACAGGGGTATCGGCTGAGACATGGCTTCGTGGAACGCTCGCCTGTCCAATGTTTTCACCAAAAACAAACCAGCAGACCGACCAAATACGGAAACGAGAGCGCTGATCAAGGGATTGCCTTGCCCGTCAAGCTGCAACCCCAGAGTCCAAGACCGGATGGGCTTGGTTATGTAAGGCCTCCCACAAGCCTGAGCAGAGCTAAATCTCCACTGGTTTATGAGGGGGGTTGGAGGCTAGGGCATTTTTGGGTTCGAGGAAAATTTTGATTGTAGCCAAAAGGCCTATGCTGCGTACATAACCGCTTTCGCACGATCCTGAGAACATGTCCAACACGCGTGAGACATGGAACTCGGTTGGCATTGTTCCAGCTTCATGTCATTGGGTGCAGAAAAGGTCTTTAGATAGTTTGGATTGCGACTAATAAACACATCAATGCTAGCAACATGAAGATGCCAATATCCCGTACATATCTGGAAGGCTTTTCCCGTCCTTCTTACAGATATTCATGAAACATGATGGACTTTTACCATCCATCCGTCATGGCTAAATGACGTCTCGCTCAGACGTCCAGGCCGTCAACGACAATGCCCTTGCTCCAGGTCCAGTTCATCTTGCGAGCGACCTCCTCAGCCGACGCATCATCGACAAGAGCGCTGATGAGATACAAAGCTGCATCCACACCAGCGCTGACTCCAGACGCCGTGATGACACGGAGGCCACCGAGGCGCATAGCGGCGCGGCGAGTGATGGACTCGCGGCGGCCGGAGCTCTTGAAGGACATGCTGCCCTTTCTATTTGTTGCTGTTAGCCTTGACTGTAACCATGGCGTGAAGATGAATGCTTGTATCACGTACCGGGCATTGGAAGGTCTGCGGCCAGAGTCGGACTTGCGGCGAACATACGGGTTCTCGTCCTCGTCTCCGAGGTCGAAGCGCAGGTTGTTGACGACGTATCGGGCATCGTCTATCACGTCGGTTCGCTCCGTAAGGTTACGGGTAGCGGCCTCACTGCAAAGGATCTCGAACTTGGTAATGTAGTCCGAGTGGGTAGTAGCCGACAGGCCGGCGAGGACTCCTTGCTTGGCAAGGAAGAGAGCACCCGTGCAGACGGAGAGAAGGGTGCGTTCGTGGGTGGGGTCATTCTGCTGCAGCTCGGAGAAGGCCTGGATGAGGGGGAGGGGTTCGGCATTACTCTTTAGTACGGTCTCGCTGTCGCCGCCGACGATGACGAGAACGTCAAAGTCATTGAGACGCTCGTAGGCGTCTTTGAAGGAGATCTGGGTGCCAATGGTGACGCCGCAATCGGAGACGACCTTAGGCTCTGCAGCCGCGATGGTACACTCGAAGGCCTTGGAACCTGCGCGCGGTTGGGATCACTGGTTAGCACTGCTGCGTGAGGGGGGGTAGTGGCAGATTGGGGTGGGGAAGCGGTTTGATTGAGGAGCTCCTTGCCAGGTAGATCTGGGTACGCACTCGGGTTCTTCTGGTCATGAAGGGCGGTGGTCAGGGCCTCCATTGGGCCTGCCATGTCAAGAAGATCAAAGTTGGGTTGCAGGGCGAACAGAACCTCAATGGGCTCGTCCGCCACTGCAGAGCTCTTGTTTGCCATCTTAACGACTGTTCGTGATGTGGTTCAAGGGGGGAAGATGAAGTAATACAGCGTGTAGATGCTGTTGGAGTAATTGGAGTAATTAAGACCGAGAAGAGAAGCCCTCGAAGGTCGATGCTAGGGATTGGATGTGGGTTGTTTGGAAAGTGTCAAGCTTGTTGGTGGTGATGGAAGAGAAGGAGAAGAAGACAGCTCAGAACTATTTGGACGAAAAGAGGGAGGGGAGGGAAGTAATAAGGGTCGAGTCATCTGGACAAAGGAGGGGTTGGAACGCCGCCCGATCTCTCGGTCTCTGCCTCCTTTACCTGTCTTCCAACTTGTCTACCTCCTCACGCATCACCTTGAGGTGGACGTTCAGGTACCTCACCTCACGGCATATCCCTCCAGCATCCCCCCTTCGGATCTGCGCAGCTGGCCAGCTTCAAAGCACCCTAAGCAGCCCCTCAGCTCAGGTCACTGTCTGTCGGCGACCGATCAGGTGCGTTTCTGGACAAGGCCACAGCCCACAACAGCTTCAAGTGGTCCAATGGCCCCACTATCTCCCGTACGTTTTCTGGGGTCGGGTGCATCAGTGGCCCATGGTGCATGGCGCACTTTCGCGGATTGCGGGGTTAGACGACGAGCGTTCTACCCGTGAGGTCACTGGTGGGTCCCGGTACACACCTGCAGGGCAGACAAACCACCGAGATGCAAGTATCCCGTCGACGCAGCGTAGGACCCGCAAAAGAGGGCTAAGCGAGCCCAATAGAGTGCTGTCCAGCCTACGATGTCTGGCCCGCGTCGGCCGGGCCTGCCGCATGGTGGTCTTCTGCTGTACCCCTCCATAAGTACCCCGGTACCTACCTATTTAGTTTCAAGTGACCCAATTTTGGCCATTCGCCATCTTGTAAACTACCAGAGAGGGTCCTCTGACAAAGCTTGTACCTTGCATCAGCAGATTCCGTTGCCTGACAGTTGCATGATATCGACTTCCACCCACGCCAACAGACGGACCTCGCCTCACTTTCCGTTACAGACCTAAGCACCGCAAGTCTCGATGAATACTCTTCGGTAACAAAATGGCGTTATCAGCGTAAGTAGCCAGATTTCCTAGTATGCGCTGCTGCCTCATGCGGTGCGCGATATTCATTCTGGCGGCTTTTTCCAACCCTACCGCAACCCTCGCGATAAGACATACGGTTGACTGACGCCACGCTGCATAGGTCACTCAAGGACCTGTCTAAGGTACTGGCGTCCTTCTTCGTCTCACCTTCCCTCCCGCTGCCCGACGACGTCGCCGAGGTTATCGATGCCTACCTGAACAAGCACGAAAAATACGATGATTCGAGCGCCGAACGACTGCAGGATGAGCTCCTCAGCACCTGGGAGAAGCAAATCAAGGACGCGCCGGCCAAATATGCCCCTTTTCTACATATCTTCCGCCTTCTGGTACCTGCGATCCGCGCGCCCGCCCGCTTGCTCAAGTGGTGGGAAATGCTTCACAACCCTGTCCTAGAGAATATCACCCGGGAGAAGGATTTGATGGAAGAGTCAAACTTGGCAACATTGGAAGTTTTGATGTTAGGAACACCTGAAGACGACGACTCAAGTGCCGAACCCGGCACCAATCCGTTTGCCAAACGGCTACTGCTGGCATGGTTGGAAAGATACCACAAAATTCAGTCCGAGAGCGACTTGAGTGCGCAATCCAGCGAGCGCACGCTACGTCAGGCTTTGATCACATACGGCAAGAAGAAGCCCAAAGTATGTCTAACCATGTGCTAAGCGTTGTTGCGACTGGTTGTCTGACGATATGAAAGGATTTCCTCTCCACATTGGATACGTGCTTCGTGCGGAGTGAATTCCGAGCGAGAGTCTCCAGACTGCTTTGCGAATTCATTCAAAGTCAGCCACCGCACCTACACCTGATACTGCAGACGCCGCTGTTCAACAACTTGATGCGATGCTTACAGCAAGACACATCAGCAGCCGTCATTTCCGTGACAATCACCGCTTTGATTATGATATTGCCGCATATGCCAAGTTCGTTGGTGCCGCATCTCCCGACTCTGTTCAACATATATGCACGGTTACTATTCTGGGATAGCGAGTGGACTGGAACCATTGAGCCCACATCGGATGAAAGCGAGCAGAAGAGTCTCGCATTGCCGTCAAGGTGGGAGACCTGCCATTCTCCCCCAGAGGCCGACGATATCGAGATTCCCCACTTGGCCAACTACTTCACCATTCTCTACGGCTTATATCCTATCAACTTCATGGACTACATCCGGAAACCACAGCGATATCTTCGACATGCAAATGCAGTCAATCCGGACGAGCTTGAAGTCCAACCAACCGAAATACGGCATAAGTCTGAACGCTACAGGCAGAGCCACCTTCTGCATCCCAACTTCTACACTCTGACGATCGACTCCGAAAAGACCGACTTCGGACGTTGGATGACAAGTGAGCCCGCAGAAGTCGTGGCTGAATGCATGGCGCTACGTTTTTCCCCCGAAACCTTTGCAACTGTCGACCAGGGCCATGGACAGGCCACTGAGGCACACAACTCTCTGCTGAGCGACGAATCAGATCAGGATGGTCTCGGGCCTGCCTTGCTCAGTGGCTCCAGTTCGGAACCTGGGGCAGAGAGCTGGAAAACCACGCAAAATCCAGAACATGACGAGGGAGCGAACAGCCATGCCCATGCTACTAGCCAACGCCAGAGCTCACTGTCTAGTCAACCTTCACATAGGACCTCACTCGAAGCCCCCAAGGCCGATATAGTAGCTGACAGCCCGACCCTACCCCCGCAGCTCATTAGATCGCCCTCTCATACACAGTTGCAGGACATGTTGCACTCGAATAAGGTCATCAAGTCAGAACTCCATCAGTCACTGGCGAAC